CGTTTAGATTGTGTTTTTAAACACAGCAATAATTCCTAACTCCAAATAAACACAAAAAACAGAATATTAATTTGTTTAATTTCCCAATATTATTTTTAACAAATTAAATTAATTATTTACAACTAAAATGCTATTGGATAGTTAGGACAAACATACAAAATCTAAAGTAGTTGCTCGAAATATAAACCCAATTGTTCAATACACAATTCACATCTACGAATGATCGAACGTGGTATAGCATTATTCAAATAAGGCCTTATTTCATCACATGCATTCCTGATTCTGTCTATTAGCATATCTCTTGTGGTTACGGGAGTCTGGTACACTTTTTCTTTTAGAAATCCCCACACAAAGAAATCTAATGGATTTAGGTCAGGAGATCGTGGAGGCCAGGCGACTGGTCCTCCACGGCCGATCCATCTTTCTGGATAATTTTCGTCCAGCCAGTTTCTAACTATTCTTGAATAATGAGCTGGACAACCATCAAGCTGGAACCAGGCCAATCTTCTTAAATCTAACATAACATCATCCCACATATTTGCATGTTCAGCCTTTAAAAATTCCAAGAAGGTCGCAGCATTTAACCTTGCAGGCAAAAGGTAGGGTCCAAATAGTCGATTACGGTAGATACCAAGCCACACGTTCACACTAAATTCATGCTGAAAATTTCTTTCCCGAACTGCATGCGGATTTTCATGCGACCAAATATGTTGATTATGAAAATTTACCACTCCACGTCTAGTGAAGCATGATTCATCGGTCCATAAAACGTTACTTAAAAACTCCCTATTATTATCAATTCTATCAAGAATCCACTGACAAAATGTGATTTTTCGTTCTCCGTCCCCTGGCTGTAGTCCTTGCACAGGTTGTAAATGGTAAGGACGTCTATGGTCATTTCTAAGAACACGGTGAACATGGCTTGCTGAAATTCCCAAGGCACCAGAAACTCTCCTAACACTTGTGGTCGGATCCCTATCAAATTCACGCAGAATCATACAGGTAAATCTGCGCTGACGAACATTTATGTTTTGATCCCTTTGGAGATTTCCAAAACTATTTTCAATTATTTGGCGATGCACTCTTACAAATACTGAGCGAGTTGGATGTCGTCTGTTTGAAAAAGTTCGAGCGTATTCTCTGGCTGCTTCTGCTGCGTTTCAATTTACAAAGCCATACACAAAATAAATATCCGCTAACTCTTGATTGGAGAATAAAAATGGCATTTTTATAAAACTTACAAAAAAAACAGGTAAAAGAAACTAAATTTCGTGCATTCACAATTGCAAAAAAACGTTACAGGTTTCAACAGACAACAAAACTAACTGTCAACTAATTGACGTTTGACCTTATTCTGCTTTCAATTTAAAAAATATTTGCAGGCACAGCCTAGTACTAAAAATTATCGAGATACTGACTTTTTAACGTTATTTTATCATAAGTAATTAAAAATGCATCGAACCTTAAAAATCGAAATATCTCAAAAACGGCTAACTATAACGAAAATTCACAAGAGAGCTTTTTTATGTTGAAAAGTGCAATGAATCAGTTTTTTCAAAAAGCAAAAAATTGCACTAAGAAAAATTTTTCGGTCATTTTAATACACTACAGGTACAGTAGAGAGCGCCCTCTAGCGGCTACAGTAAAACTATGCCCATGGTTCGTTTTGTCGTACCAAAAAACCCTTGTATACCAATTTTCACTGTTATACATCAAATATTGTTCGAAATATTTAAAAAAACTATTTTAGAAAGTAAATTTAAACACCATGTATTTCGGAAGCCACGCATTTTTCGACCCATGTTTATATAGACTTTATGCATTAATTTTAAAACTTCTATCGAATCTTGAAGTTATGCACCCTATACAAAAAACATAATACCTGGATCTCGAAATTTTTCGCGATTACAATACTTACTCGACGTTAGGCGTAAACAATGAAACAAACCATTCGGTATTTTAAACCAGTAATATGCGTACTGCATTTTCAGCAGGTGCACGGATATGTCGGACGCGTTATACGAGATTTATATTGTAATCACAAAAAACATAATAGCTTTGTATAACATACTTACAGAGATATTCAGCATGGATATATGAAAAATGCTTTGAGGTTCGCCCGCTTTCACTGAATCCGCTTAACCTGGAAACAACAAAAATATTGAAAAATTACGTCATGGCTGATGCGTGGAATATAATGGAGGCTTTGCGTACGCTAGGATTTATGTAGAGCCGAAAATAAAATTCTAAAATATAACCTTTTAGGATTCGTTTTTATCTTTAAGGAAGATGGGTTATAAAGAGTGAATTAAAATGTAATCATGAACAGAAAATGCAGTAACACTAAAGACTTCATCGCAATCAGTCATGACATTTTTTTCAGCTAAAGCCTAGGCTCTCAATACAATAATATTTTGGGGTCATAATTATACAGGTGCAAGAAATATCAGCGGTATTGCGTTAGAACTCGTCTGTTCCTGTGATATAGAAGAGTTATTTGTGTAACACTTGAAACTCATCCTGTGGTTTTCATGCTGGCAAACCACATGTTCGTCTGGCCCCTAAATCGAACCGCATATTATGCTTGAAATACTGACGTCACTATGAAGTATTTACAGCATATGTGGTTTCACTGAGCGGCTACACATTGGGAATCAGAGTCACTTGGTTTCAATATCTTTATGTGATGTCTTAACTAATTAAGCTGCCAAAATTTTGCTGACCAGGGGTGCATTCGTAAATTGTTACAGAGTGTACTTTGTACTACTCTGTAACTATTTTAGCGGTCATAATTTTGACGTACCTGTTCCATACGTTCGGAAACAGAACAAAGTAATCCTTCTGGAAGGTCAAAGTGCGCTTTTCTTCCCGTACTCAAAGCCTTAGTAATAAAACGTTGTCAGTTGTCATTCTCTTGGTTCATTGTTTGCTGACCTTACTCAGTTAACAAAAAGTGCTCAGAATTGGCAGATTATATAATTTTCAGGATAAATGGGTTATCTCGAATTCATTGCGTTTCTTATAAAAATTCAATGGCCTAAGAAAACGTGTTTTGAAAGGTTCACAGAGTAAAATTTCATCTACAAATCTACATTTCATTACTCCGCACCAGGTAATTTAAAAACGCACCCCTGTATAGTAAACGCTGAAAGGTTATTCAAGGAATCCGATTTTCAGCACCATCCTGCATTTTCGTGTTTTCTATTTGCTGGGAGCCGACTGCATATTGGGGGTAACTATATCGATTGCCACCCACGCATGGACAAAAAGGGAAAAATGCCCAGACTAATAGGGGAAAGGTGGGCAAGTCGACATAGCCGTTCAAGGCGACACATTGCCCCCACCACGAAAACTAATCCCTTATTGGTTCAGTTCATACGCTCGTTACAATCGACTCCTGCGCCATATGTTTTGTTGCATATTTATGCTATTATAGTATTTCTTTTCATGATTTATTTTGGAGATAAAAAGGGTGTTCCTAAGCTTTACTTTAAGATATTGCAACTGTTTTTAGGTTATATTTTAACCGGCCATATTTTCGTGTTATGATCTCACACGCTAGCGGGCAAGTTGAAATATAGCTATGTCATCTTGCCCTCTCAAGGACGGATCTATGAAATGTTGCTGGGGTAGGGTAAACAAAATCTGGGACCAACTCTTACCCAAAACTCCTTTAAAATAAAATTCTAGGTTAATGTTTTGGGTACTTACTATTAATGTAGAGGTAAAAACATGGGTACCTATATATTTGTTTAGCCATATTTTTTAAGCTATTATAGTATTTTTATCCAGTGTTTTCTATTCATTTAAGTTATGGGACCTGTCTGGAGGGAGTTGTTATCCCCATTATTCCCCCCTTCATAGATCCGTCCTTGGCCCTCATGACCCAAGATTTGCAACTGCTGTTTTAATTTACAGATGGTTTCCAATTTGCAGGCTGTAGCAGAAAAGCGCATGGGTTGGTTAAAGGCTAACAAGCATTTCCAGGTGTCCCAGGCAACAGTTTGCCGCCGTGCTATGAACCTAAATAAAATAGCTGTTGGTACAAGAAAGCATCTTGGCAGACATGGAACAACCTTAAATCGAGAACTAGAAGAGGCTCTAGTGGAGCATATGCTAGCACTGGAAGCTAGATTTTTTGGCTTAACCACCGTAGATGTCCGTCTTTTGGCATAATTATGAACTTGCATTGCGAATGAAGTTGAAACATCAATTCAATAACATGAATAAAATTGCAGGCAAAGGTTGGCTACGCTCTTTTCAACTAAGGAATCCGAATATATCTTTACGTCAGCCACAGGCAACATCGATGGCACGCACTGAAAGTTTTAACAAACCGCAAGTAAAGACCTTTTTGAAAATCTACGTAACGTAATAAATAGTAAAGAAATCGACAAAAGTATGATTTTTAACATGGATGAGTCAACTGTACAAAATACTTCTAAAATGTTTGCGTTAAAAGGAAAGAAGCAAGTGGGTGCTATCACCAGCGGGGAAAGAGGAGTGCATTCAACTGTAGTGGCGTGCATGAGTTCAGGGGAACTTATATTCCACCTGCTATAATTTTTCCTCGGAAGAAATTCAACCCAACATTATACGACGGAGTGCCTGTTGGGAATTTATGTTTGTACAATGAATCAGGTTACATGACCGGGGAACTATTTGTAAAGTGGATGGAACACTTTATTAAACATGTTCGACCGAACATCGAAAACAAAGCCCTGCTAATTTTAGACGGGCAAGTCAGCCATAAAAATTTAGAAGCAAGCAAAAAATCAGTGGCGCTATTTTGTTTGCACTTACATTGCACACATCGTCTCCAACCGCTAGATGTGTGCTTTTTTGGACCACTAAGTAAGTACTAAGATGCAGCAGCCACACAATGGTTGAAGGAAAATCCAAGTCGTGTCATCACTCTTTATCAAGTCGCGTCACTTTTTTCTTCCGCCTGCAATAAAACAGAGATATCACCTTTCAACACGGACATATTTCCAGAACACATGTATTTGCCCAGCACAGTAACTCACGTGCCACTTGAGGCCGATGATGCAAACACTGACTCCCTTAATCCGGGTAAATGTTTCTCTGCAGCAGAACATTTGAATGAAGAAGATCCGCAGTAATCTACAACAGTAAATACAAAGCCACATGAACATGGAGAGTCTTCAGCTAATAACGTCACAAACTTGCTGTTGCAAATTTCACCTTTTCCTCAGGGAAAGAAGAAGGAAGGCCAAGAGAAGTTACCAAGATGTTCTTACCACGAGTTCATACCTACAGAGTCTTCGCGAACAAGAGAATATTAAAAAAGCGAGAGAGGAGGTAAGAAAGAATAAGCGAAACTCAGTGAAGAATGATGGTTCCTTAGAATGTGGAGATAAAGATATTCAAACAGATTGTCAAGAAAAGAGAACCGGAAAATTAAGAAAAAGTGAACGAAGTGCAGTTAAAATCTATGAAAATGAATCAGACTGTGAAGAGCCCTTTAATGAGGACGACGACGATGATTGCGCATGCCTCTATTGCAATGAGTTGTATAGCCTATCCAAATCTCAAGAGGGCTGGTTACGTTGCCAAATGTGTCATATGTGGACTCATGCAGAGTGTGCAGGACTGTCAATGAAGGCTAAGAACTTCATTTGTGAATTATGTTTTGATAAATGATCACTTTATGTATAAATCCACGTATATGCCATCTTGCCTTGTAGGGTAGGGCAAGATGACATTTTGACTCTTTTCATTTTAAATTTTTAGTTTTAAAATGGAAGTATGGTTTTGTTTTCACTTGATAAATAATAACAAAGGATGTTCTATTTGTACTATGACGCTTTTTAATTCATGATACCTTTTATATTTTTCAAAATAAATCGATTTTACGAGTATGATGACTTGCCCACCCTTCCCCTATTGGAATATATGCTTGCCCCCCATGGTGAAATCGGTGTCATCTGTGGTTAATTGAGGCCTGGAAGGATGAAAATATTTCGTTGTCATCAACTGTTAAATAAAAGACATTGCCATTTTCATTAATATCTGCTGTATTTTTTATAAGGGACGTCTCAAGTATAAATATTTCAGTCCCACGTCCGACAGGTGGCGCAATTATCGAGAAGGAATAAGGTAAAGGAACCATAACAATTACTCAAAAGTTCCATCTCATTTGCTGCTACCATGATACCATCAGGTAGCAATTCATCAACGATACGATGCGATGCATACAGGATAAGCATGCAATATCTTAAAAGCCCGATTAATTTTCATAAAACAAATCGCTGTTACGGTCCTGTAACAAGCGGATTTATCTTCCGGCTTCTAGCTTTCGGTGGTGGCTGTCGACGTTTCCCAGATTTTCCGTTCCGCCGTCTGCGATCTGCAATCAGTTTAGTTGAGTTTTCGTCGTTGTTTTTCTACGTATACAATCCGTCCTGTTGAATGATGAGAGCATAAAGCCTCTACGTCTCTACGTTAGCTGCACTTGTGTATAGGCCTAAAGCCTGCTGATACCACTCAACAGAGATAGCTTTTGGATGGATGTAGTTGTTGTCAAATTAAAAGTCATATAAAATATGACTTAAGTCGTAATTTATATTTTTGATATTTTTGAACATAACCTGCCTTCCGAAAGGACAACGTATAAATATCCCGTCCGGCACAGCTGATAGATATACATTGGCAGCATATTCAGTAATGATTTTCTCACACAGCAAATATCACTGATTTTATACACATGCAAACCAATATACATAATCATCCAGATGCGATCTTGCTATTCAACCAACTTTCTTCTCAGAGATGAAAACTACAGACTTCCCGGCTCCACAAAGCATATGCAACCAACAATGCATATAGTTGGGTCATTCCTCCATAGATAGACGCTCACAACGATCCTAGTGAGCAAACGTGGAATGACTGTTGGCACCTAACTACCTAGCCTGCAAGATGGAATTTTATAGGTTTTTTGACGTTTTATAGGCTTTTACGTAATACCCGGGCGGATACGAATGGAATTCGAACCGCTGACCAAAAATTGCAATAGGTTGGCCTTCTTGATTGTCATAGTCTCTCCTCCAGAAATTGCTAGATTTCACCTGTTACGTGTCAGCGTCCGCGCTCTCCTATTGTGAAGTTATGTTTTCTTTTTGAATTGTAAAAAATTGCAGGCTGATAAAACACATGATATAAATCAAAAGCATGAACAATTTGATGCAAATAGTTATTTTCGACATAACATACACGGAAAAAAGAAAAGTATGACAGACAAGGAGGCCATAAAGGCGTACTAAAATCGAAGGAACCACTGACGTTACGGAACTAAGAGTACGTACGACTCGTGATACTCAAAACTTGCGAAAATGTCATCATATTCCAAGTAAAAAACCCTACTATGATGATTTATGTGAAAAAGAATAATATGTTTATTGAAACTTTCATTAAAACCTTCATGAGGTCTCAAAATGAAATTGCCAATTCTAAGGTACCATCATTGCATCATTTTAAAGAAATGTTATTTCTGTAAAACGCAAGCGGTAAAGAGATGCTTTTGTCTGGTTCCTTCATTTCTTCTATACAGGGTGACTTTGAAGTTGAGTCATTAATTTTTAGATAATGATTGTAGAAGGAAGATAAACCAAAATATGTGTGTAAAAATAAAAAAAAAATAAAAAAATGTTTACCTTGTTTTATAAAGTATCCTCCCGACAAGTATTTCAGTGCGGACCTGTATTTGATCGTGAGGTCCCCTGTGAGGTCTTAAGTCACCTGATTCACGAGCCCGTTGTACTACATTAACAAAGGCACGAGGGGTTGGTTGCACTCGATTGGGAACCGATCCGCATAAACATGTGCCATCTTTTATTTCGTTTGAGCCCCGCAGCAGATACCACTATTCACTGACACTGACTGTATACAAATGAATGAAATGATTGTAAAAAACATCGTTCAAAATTCTTTCGCTTTTTTGTTTCCGATGCGATGAACCGATACGGCGGATTATATCCGTTGTCGCCAAACACGACCACATAATATTATTATTGAGACAGGGCGGTACTCAAACTTCCAAAGGGCTATAACTTTGTTACTTTTAATTTTACCAGAAAAAGGGTAAAGGAAAAAACATTTCTTTTGATCAGATCTACTCACTGTTAAAATAAATGACTCAACTTCGAAGTCACCCTGTATAAATATATCAAACAGAAGTAAATATTTTTCCGTTTATTGTAAAGACTGATAGCCTTCCACCATTAAAACATTTATACTGAAGCTTTTTCATAAATAAATAATCATCAATACTCCGGTTCTTCGTTTTTACGATTGCAACGTATATCCGCGTTAGCTAGCATGGTACGCGGCAACACCGCCTAGGCCTAGGGCTACTCATTATGGAACGCTGAAACCTTTCATCGTTGTACTTTGGGAATTTACATTCGACACTTTCCTCCGAAATGGCGGCCGTTTTGACACTGACAAGAGAGTTTCATAGCTGATTGTTATCTAAGCTGTAGCTGTGCTATAACTCCGATCTCTGTCCGATCCCTGTCAACACTTCATACAGGGTGCTCTTCAATGGCATGCCAATATTTATGAAGTTGATTCTCAGAACCATTTCAAGAAACTATTGTAGATACCTTTATGAAATTTGGTGCACATCTTTTATGCATAACCCAGCGACCAGATCGTTGCATTCTTTCCCCGATTGCCCAGGTAATACAGTAAGTTCTTTGAAGTGGGAAGCTGTTAGATGAAGTAAAAAATCCTGAAACAGGAGCAAGTTATGCGAAAACCGTTTGCCATGGCACGCTCTGGTGGCAACGTTTGTTTTTGCTGCAGTAAAGACCGCTTTTTGAACGCGATACAGCAAAACCATGGAATGGGAAGGTATTTTAGCTATTATTTGCTCACTGTTTTAATTAAAAACTGCTACATCTACACGAAATTAAATTTCGATGGAAAAATCGAACCTTCCTTCGTTTTCGGCTGGAACATTCCAGCTATAGGTATGCTCATAGGAGGACCTTCAGGGATAGTGCAGAGGATTTGGTACATAACTCAGTTCCCCTGGGTATTATAAGTCACAATACTTATAAAGTAGGAGGAGTTGGCAGGTCAGAATATATGAAAATGTTTGTTTTCACTTGTATGTTTGTTTAACACTTAAGGCTTTCGAAATAGTACTGAAGAAATTACAAAATTACTACGACCTCACAGTAGTTTCAAAATTCAAACTCAATTGAACTTCTTGTTTTTTAAGAGAATGTTTTTTCCGAAAGCTGAGGTAAAGGTTTAAATCCAAAATATACTCACACTGATTTACCTCCGCGTCAAAACAAAAATGGCCAATAGATGCGCGCAGGCTTGAACAGCGTGCGATGGTTGTTCCAGAGTGACCGTTGTCTGCACCACTCAAGGCGATTACGTCGGTGTTCTCGAGTTAAAGGGGGGACCCAGTGTGGCCGGTATGAAAACAAGCCAAAACTTCTCATTCGTCGGTAAACACTTCGCAATGGCAATGGACCTGGTAGTGGAGAACGGCCCCTTGCTCTTTGCGTACGGCCTTCTCGAAGCCATGCCTGACAACACCTAACCACAGTGTCTACACTTCTTTGCACTCTAACTGCAATTGCCCGAAAAGAAAGTCCAGCTTCCTGAAGTCCCACTATACGGCCCCTATCAAACTTGCTAAGTTGACGAAATCGTACAGGTCTCCGTACTCTAGGCATCGTAACCGATCGTAAAGGATGTTAAGAACCAAAATACGCCAACGTTGATTCTTTACTGCGGCTGAAATATTCATTTTTAGAGCATTAGTGAATTACAAAAAAGCAGTATAAAACCGGAATGTCCAACTGATAAGGCTGAAAATTTTTTCACTTGTTATTTACAGTAAGATAAATACATTCACCAACTTTTATTAAAATAAAACCATTTAGACTGGGTGTTCGGATTTATATGTCACTCAGTATAAATTGTAGACAATCAGTCCCCACAAGGTGCATATTGCGCCTGGATCTACTGGGGCTTTGTCACATTTTCAGTCAAATCGTACACGTATTTGGAATGATTACTATTATTTCAAATTTTTATCACCAAATGGGAATCAAGCGCTGAGCTGAACAGCTGATCAGCAAGTAAGATCTGTAGTAGGTAATGTAATGAATCTGGTTGTATTCAGAACCATTTATACCAAACACTAATGCATTTTATCTCACATATCTGATTCCAGTAACTCTCATGATCATTAGCAGTCATGTTGCTGTTACCGTTTTTTCCTTTTGCATCGAAACCTGATACACAGCTTTGCTGATGACAGCACTCTACACGCAGGAATTCAGAGTGACAAGCCGATCTATGGCAGTGAGCTGGAGAAGACTAGCAGCAACTTCCTCTATGATGAGAGACCTGGAGGTTATCACTGCTTGTGGACACAACAATATGGTACATTTTAATTCTTTCAAAACACAATAACTGTATCTTGATTAACAAGAAAAAAAAAGCTAGGATATTTTTTAGGGCTAAGAAATACTTGTCTCCGCATAACCTCCTACCTGTGTACAAGGCACAGATAAGACCTAGCCGCGAGTACTTCGTGTTTGGTGGGCTGCCGCACCGACTATGCTGTTTTAGAGGAGGGGCTGTTCGACTGAGCGAAGGCTCTGCTCTAAAGCACAGTTTCGGGACCCTTTTGTACCGATTCGGCAATCTAGCTGTCTTCCACCGCTATGCCAACGGACTTTGCTGCTCAGAACTCTCCTACATAATGCCACCGCGTGATGTGTTAGAGTGAAAAGGTTGAAGCACATCCTCACGTGTTAGCAAACAGATCATGTGAGGCTAATAATCAGCCAGGGAATAGTTTTGAGACGGCCATTTTCCATCTGACTTGGTGACAACGACCACGATAATCTCAAGTGATGACATACACAATTAATTTAGTATTCGATATAGTTCGTTCACTGGAGTGATATCAGACGTGTTATTTTTTTTATTTCAGACTAGACCGAAACTTATTTCCGTTTGGGCATATTGCTGCTTTCTCTTCAGAGTTATATACAGGGGTGACTTCGAAGTTGAGTCATTTATTTTAACAGTGAGTAGATCTAATCAAGAGAAATGTTTTTTCCTTTACCATTTTTCTGGTAAAATTAAAGTAACAAAGTTATAGCCCTTTGGAAGTTTGAGTACCGCCCTGTCTCAATAATAATATTATGTGCTCGTGTTTGGCAACAACGGATATAATCCGCCTTATCGGTTCATCGCATCGGAAACAAAAAAGCGAAAGAATTTGGAACGATGTTTTTACAATTATTTTATTCAGTTGTATACAGTCAGTGTCAGTCGGTAACGCGTGAGTGAATAGTGGTGTCTGTTGCGTGGCTCAAACGAAATAAAAAATGGCACATGTTTACGAAAATGCTGAACTTGTGTACATGATTCTTATTTACGCGGCATCACGGATTTATGCGGATCGGTTTCCCATCGAGTACAACCAACCCCTCGTGCCTTTGTTAATGTAGTACAAAGGACTCGTGAATCAGGTGACCTTAAGACCTCACAGGGGATGGAATGCCGATGCTTCAAGACCGCACGATCAAATACAGGTCCGCACTGAAATACTTGTCGGAGGATACTTTATAAAACAAGGTAACATTTTTTTTTAATTTTTTTTATTTTTACACACATATTTTGGTTTATCTTCCTTCTACAATCATATCTGAAAATTAATGACTCAACTTCAATGTCACCCTGTATAGTTATGAGCTCTGCTGGCCTTGAAAGGAAGTTTTCGATAACGTAATTTGTGGGCGATGTGGTGAATTATAGGTACTGTTGTCTAGTGTGATGGAACTAAAATACATAAGGCTATCTTGACTTTTACGAAAAATGTCGATCCCGGTTACTAGCGTGGGTGAAGGCGAGATGAGCCCACTAAGTGGCCGATGCGATGTAACGTTGCGAATTCGGCTTCATTTTCCACTGTATTCGCATAGATTTTCCGCACGACCATGAAAATCGTGGGAGCATACCAATGTATATCCCATTTTTTACACGGTGTGCGTGCAGATTTTTGTTAGCTCTATCGAGGAAAAACGGCTCGGGTTCAGCATCGGATGAAAAAAATTTTACAAGAGGAAAACCGACTCAATATCGATAGCTGCATGCCATGTAGTGGTTGGTTCGCCTTTCGGTGTTTTGCTTTGAATGGTTCACATTCCGTATTTGCTCTTTGCTGGTGTTTACACGCGGATGGATGCACTGCCTTTGCTCTGTGTTTATAATGAACATAATCCTATTTACTGTTTTTGAACCTATATCCCCAAAGACGAAGTGACTAGCAAGCGTGTAGAGTCCATAGGCTTTACAACTCCAAAGTGTGCAATATCAGCATTTCAAATGTTACACAGTGTAATGCTTATGCGTTATGCAAAAATGGTTACACTAACATTGGCATAGTTCAAGTAACTGGAAATATGTTGTTTTTTACTAAATTATTTGAAGCTAAACCTGTCGCAAACCTGATGTGGCTCGGTGAGGGACAAGACTTTGAGTCTGTGCAACTTGAGCTTATCAGAGGTAATTTTCTGAGACTGTTTCAAAATTAAACTTAAACTTACTTAGCTCACTATGTTCCTTTTGCATTACATTTTAACGATCTACCAAATTATTAGTCACTCAACGGAATATATGAAATATCTTGTCGTATTCATCGATAGCCGAATTTGTTGGAATGTCAATATTTCTTATATTAATAAACAATAAAATTCTTTCACTTTAGGCATTTTTACACAAAAACAGATGATAATACAGGCCCATAAGTCCTTTGAGCTGGAAAAAAAGGAATAAAACCAAACTAGTTACATTATGAAGAATTATTATATTTTGTTATCATCTTTATTGAATGGGAATTATGTTTTAAAAATCACATCGTCTAAATGCAATCCATTACGATCACGGCACTCATATAACCGACGTCTAAAATTGTCGATGACTGCGCGGCAAGTCAACACTGTAATGCTTGCCATTTCTCTTCGGATATTTTCTTTCAGGACATCAACTGATCGCGGAGTGGTGTCGTACACTTTACTCTTGAGGTAGTCCCATAAAAGAAGTCCATTGGGGTCAAATCTGGACTACGTGATGGCCAGGAAATGTCTCCTCTTCGAGAAATTACTTTGCTGGGAAAAAGTTGACAGACGACGGGCATAGAAGTGTTGGAGGTGTGGGCAGTTGCTCCGTCCTGTTGAAACCAGGTCTGCGTATTATAGCTTGGAAAATTCTGCAACGCTGGTGTCAAAAACTCTTCTATCATTGCTACATACCACTCCGAAGAAACAGTTAATGCGCGACCTCTGTCGTCCTCAAAAAATAAGGGCCTACGATGCCATGCGCTGACATAGCAGCCCAAACTGTAACTTTAAGGCTGTGTAAGGGCTTCTGATGCTTACGCCTTGGATTTTCGGGGCTCCAATAACGGCAATTTTGTTTATTTACATGCCCGTTTAAATGGAAGTGAGCCTCGTCCGAGAACAACACATTATTGAGCGAAGAAAATCGATTCAATCAACATTTCATTCGCAAAGTTTAGTCTCTGAATAGCGTCATTATCTTTTAATTCCTGCACTAACTGAATTTTGTAAGCGTGTCAGACGTAAATCTTTCCTTAAAATCCGCTGTAAAGATGTTTCTGTGTACGTTTAGTGCACTGGAACGCTTACGAGTAGACTGGGTAGGATTTTGACGAACAGACTGTGCCACAATGTTGATGTTTTCTTCAATACGAGTTGTCCTTGGTCGACCCCACCGCTGTTTATCTAACGTCAAACCAGTCTCTTCGAACTTAGCAACCCAGTTCTTAATCGTTTGAGCTGTTGGATACTTTGTAAAATTGTGTAAATTGTGGTATTCTCGATATTTACGCCGCGCAATGGTTGGCGAATCATTATTTTGATAAAACGCGCGCACACAAAAAGCACGATCCGCTCCAGTGAAACACTCCATGGCGACTGAATTCCCAGACACTGAAGATACTGCCCCCACCTCGCCCGCGCCGCTCACGCTCACCCGTTAAATTTTATTCAAATTTGAAATTTCAAAGGACTTATGGACCACCCTGTATTATATTACGCGCTAGTACGAATAGAATGTCACCTGACTTACGGAATAACTGTTTGGAGATCTGCAAATAAGACGCTAATAGAATTGTTTTAAAAAGCACAACAATCTTTTATGAAAGTAATATACAATAACGCCATGCTATCTGAACTTTTGTATGCTGAAACAAAAAATTCTTACCACAAAGATTGTATAATAAAAGTATTATTATAGCCCAACATAAAAATAAAAATTATATATTATACAAGACTTATGATGATACTAGGAACAAGAACTCTCAAATTGATTTATTTACCCCAAGGAAAGACATCATGTTAAAATAATTTATCTATCAGGCTCCGCTATTACATAATAACATACGAACAAAAACAAAAAAATGCAATTATAAGTTCAAAAAGGAACTGAAAGGTTGGCTAAGGGAAAATTCAAAATTACAACATATACCTGTATACCCGCTTTGAGTAAAAAAGCCTTGCATTAATAATAAAATTAAAATTAATGATGCACAACGGCGCATACGCTGTATAACATATATATCATGGTTAGTTATTTTGGCAACTAAAATTTAATTTTGTTTAATCTACAATGTACGTATGTAGGTAGAAGTATATCCTTTGTGGATTGAGATCTATTCATCATGATGTATTTTGATGTGAATAAAGTATTATTATTATCTCAGTCGGCTGAAAAATGCATGCAGTATTTTTCGAGAGAGTAACTTCTGGTTATAATTATTCTGTGATGCTACACCAGTAACAAGAGGTATACACATAGATCTAACCTATATTAGCTGCTAGAAGCTAGAGTATCACTACTCTCCCTCTCTACCCATTACGCGTTAGCTCGTTTCATATGATGAGCAACTTTAATTAGGTAGACCTTCATCAAAATGTGTAGGTACTGGGAATGGACGAGGCCCCTGATGGAGGCAGAATAGAAAAGTGAGGAGCACATAAATAATTTCCTGAAACCGGAGAAAAACGACCGGTGAGATAAACGGTAAAGCTGTCACAGACTGGAAAGCAGAATGACAGACGTGAAGGTAGCGGCACAGGCATAGAGGCAGTGGGGATAACTTTCCGAGCTCAGGAGGCAGAGGTGTAGGATGAATTTTTAATACAGGTGTAAATCGTAAAAATCGTTATTTATAAATATTCGTCGTTTTTTTTTATGAAGCTATACCTAATTACACTTTGGAACGAGCTAATGTATAATATGGTCGGGAGCAGTTATGCGGCGATCAACGCGCTATTTTAAAAAAAGTCATCTTGCCTAATACAGGGTGCGGCACAGAGGACGGACGTTTTTGGGATGGGTAGTACTCTTCGCCTCCGTCTACGAGAGAGGTGGGGAGGATGCCGTTGACTCGTGAGATCCTAGCATTATTTTACCAGTTGTCGTTATTGAGCCTTGGACGGTGGAGCACCGCGTTTTCGCCTATGATAGTTTCGTCCGAAATAATGAGTCAGTCATCGTCGTACAGTGTGAGTTTCATCGCCACTTCAACATTCATCGGAATAGAGCTGTTCCCTCTGGAAACACCTGATCAACAGAAGACCAAGAGGAGCGCCGCGAACAGTTCGAACTCCTGAAAATGTTGAACGCGTTCGACAGGTCTTTCTTCGCAGTCCGACTCCATCTGCCCGGAAACATGCTGCTGCACTTAGCCTTAGTGATCGTTCGGTAAGGCGAATTTTGCATATGGATGTCCGCTTTCACCCCTACAAATTGGCCATTGTGCAACAGTTACAGCCCGGAGATTATGCACAACGAATGAACTTCGCACGTGAGATGGAAGCACTGATCGATCAAAATGAGAACCTCATTTTGTTTATGAGTAACGAAGCCCACTTTCACCTAAACAGCATGGTTAACCAGCAGAATTGTCGTTATTGGGCTAATGAAATCGGCAACAGTTACACGAAAGACCGCTGCACAGCCCAAAAGTAACGGTTTGGTGCGCTGTATCGCAGACTTGCATCATTGGCCCTTACTTCTTCGAAGACGGTAATGGTCGTGATGTTACCGTGAACTCAGAGCGCTACGTCGACATGATCACCAACTTCTTTCTCCCTGAATTACGACGGCGACGGGTTCCAATCCGACGTGTGTGGTTCCAGCAGGATGGGGCGACCGCCCACACAGCCCGGGCATCCATGGACGTTATTCGCCGTCTCTTCCCTGTCGCCTTATTTCCAGATTTGGCGATGTTCATTGGCCTCCTCGGTCCCCAGATTTATCCATATGCGATTTTTTCTTATGGGGACACAGCAAGGCTAGAGTATACGCGAACAAGCCCCGAACTCTGGACGAATTGAAGGGCGAAATTCGCCTGGAAGTCGCCCAAGTTGAGAGAGCGATGTGGAAAGAGTCTACGCAACTTTCAAGAACGCCTCCAACACTGCATCAACGATTTCGGCCACCACATGCCTGATGTGATTTTCCACACTTGACTGTCTCAAATGCTATTTCCTTGTGAACCTGATTCCATCAATAAATTTGTTTTCGAGTAAAAATTAACTATTTTATGATTTTTTAAAAAACCGACCAACCTCTCTGCCGCACCCTGTATAAGCACAAATCAAATTGGAAAGTATACCGAAAATTGCTTTTGACTTGTAGGAATATTTGCAGCAAAAACACAAGTCTTAATGGTAGTAGCGAGCCGGAATCATAGCCGAAGCTATAGTATTCGCCCAATAGCACAGTATCCTGAATAAGTACAGAAGCTCAAACAAGAGGCAACAATCGTATTCGGATGAAACACAGTGATACACAAGATGAGTAGTAAAATGTAAACTTAGTGATGTATCTTATTCAAGAAATGTCCCTAATTTATTAAAAATATACCTTTGTATGCAAAAATATCGTATATTTACACCGTTTCTAATTATTCAAAAGCCATTTTTACCACCACATCTCCCAGCGACCTAGTTGAACTATGATTTACTATTGTATACAATGTTCATTGTTTACGTGACTATTGAGACGTATTGAATCTTATATGATGTATACAATGCGCCCATAACTGGTGGAAAGGAAGAGCAGTGATACTTCGGGAGCTAATACAGGTACAGTATTTAGGCATAATATAGGTGGCTATTATTACTACAAATTATATATACAAAATTCGTCAAAAAAAAAAAACATTCTATATTTAGTTTCTAGATCCAATCGTATACAACGCATACCGCAAGAAGTAAGTAAAGATGAAAATCACAATTCAAAAAAAAACAATAAAAAAATTGCCCAAAACTGTGAATAATGAGATTCGACTACACATAGTATTCCATATCTAGTGTCTGATCTTCGCCACTTCTCCATCCTGCCAACATGATTTTGGAAACATGATGAACTTTCAGTCACTCAACAATTTAAAAAATATCAGTGCTTCCATATTTCAGTCTGGCTTTCTTAAACGGCCTATCGTACTTTTGCCCTTCTTGATATTACAGACGGTATAATCAAAGAAGAATTATTAAGGCATCAACGGCCCTGCGTTGCTTACCTACTCCAAGGCCTATCCTCTAGTACATTGATTCCCAAAGTAATTTAATTACAGTGCAATTTCCGTAATTCGAGCTAGTTGTTGCAAGAAGATGTTCGAATTATGGAATGTTTTCGGAAAACTCAAAAAATATTTTTAATATACAGCTGCCTGAATTTCTGTCTTAATTAAATAATTTAATTTGGCCCACAGATGACTGATGCCATGTCCGAATCTAAAAAGGAATGTGGACAGTACCGTGTTGATTATTTGAAATTTAGCTTCATTCCATCATTGCCGGACAAACAATCTCCTATGTGCCTTTATGAAACAAAGTTTTGGGCAATGACGCTATGAAACCATCTAGACTTGCAAGATCATCTGAGAAGATGCCACCCTGATAAAACAGAGAAAGATTTGAAATACTTTCAACACTCAAAGATAAATTTCAGAAGAGACCTACACTGGACAGAATGTTCGCTTCGACGTCGCAAAGAAATGATGATGGTTTGCGGGCGTCTTACAAAATCTCGTTACTTATAGCAAAATCCGGAAAACCGCATACTATCGTAGAGAAGTTAATTTTGCCAGCCATTGAAGAGGTTTTAAAAACTGTTTTACACAAACCTGCATCTGATATCATTAAAAGAATTCCCTTAAGCAACAATACTGTTGAAAGACGTATTGATGAAATGAGTTCTGATATTGAAAGCTTCTTATGTAATTATTTGCAAACGACCCATTTCTCTATACAACTGGACGAGTCAACTTTACCTGATAATGCAGCATTATTATTGGCATATGTTTGTTTTATTATGATCAGGAAATCTACGAAGAACTGCTCTTCGCAAGAACTTTGATAACCGACACTAAAGGTGAATCAATATTTCATATTTTGAAGGATTACTCCATTGAAAAAGCAATTGCTTTATCAAATATAATATCAGTAGCTACAGATGGAGCACCTGCCGTTTAGTCATTGATGCAGTAAACCGAATCCGAAGCAAAGCGTTGAATACGCGGTTATTTGCGCAGTTGTGTGAAGAAAATGACGAACACTTTCATCAGTTACTCCTTCACACTGAAGTACGCTGGCTGTCGAAAGGCTTATGTTTGACAAGATTTTTTGCACTTTTTGAGATTATTTTAGAATTTCTGGATGCTAAAGATAAAATTTTAAAAGAAAATTTAATGAAGAGGAAAACAGACATCGCCTATTTAACAGATTTGTTTACAAAATTTAATATGGTTAATTTGCAATTACAAGGGACAGTTTAAATTTGATTAAAACAAAGTCCATCTTATCAGCGTTTCTTGCCAGAGTTAAACTAATGAAGCAAAATATTGGACGGGGCGAGTTTCCCAATTTGTCACAGACAAGCTGCCAGGAAGACGACGTTTCAACTTACGTTCAACAGTTAAATGCCCTCTATTCAGATTTTGAATCCAGGTTTGAGGATACTTTGACTATGGTAATACCACCGTGGATAATTAATCCATATGGTGACATAGAAGAGACGAATGTCATAATACAAGAGGAACTGACTGAACTAAGTACAAACAAAGAACTTAAGGTTCAGTTTAAAAACGGATATCAGCAATTCTGGCTGCAAAACAACATACCCGTTACTTATCCCGTATTATGAAATACAGCGAGGAAATTTTTAATTTCCTTTCCATCGTCATACCTAGTGGAAAGGGGGTTCAGCGCTGTTAAAAATCTCCTAACGAAAAAAAGAAACAGACTGGACATCATTAGCCGAGGAGATTTAAGATTAACCCTTACAAAATTGACGCCAAATGTTGATAATTTATTATTAAAGCATCAGGTTCATCCTTCTCACTAAAAAGATTGACTTATTGCTTATGTTATTTTATTTATAGTTATTTTATGTTTATTGGTGTCTGACCAATAAATGCCCGCATTGGGAATAAGTGCCCGCATTGATTTTTTAAAGAACCCCCCTTTATAGAAAATATTTTTTTTAATTATTCTGAAAGTTCAAGGATAGGTACACACTAAAATTCGTTAATTTTTTGCCTATTTTTAGATAACTTAAACGTATAAGAAGCGGAATTTAATCAAACTAACGGTGAAATTATTGTAGAACATACGTTTATGTTATAATTAATAAACGAACTCGCTTATTGTACTTTTTAAGTAAAAAACTTTTTTTTTATTATTTTTCACTTTTTTCATTTTATCCCTCTTATTTTTTTTCAATGCGGGCACTTATTCTCAATGCGGGCACTTATTGGTCAGACACCTGTTTATTTAATGTTACGTATATTTTACATAACAGATACAAAATTTTATTTTGAGTAGTTTTAATTTAAATTCAATTAATAAATGTATAAATTAACATGTGTGTTCACTTTAGGTTTTTAACACTAAACTTCACTACAGTTAGAAATTTACAGGAAATCAATATCAGGTAAGTAGGGGGTCTACCCACCACGGAAAAACATGGCAAGGGGTCTACGACACAAAAAGTTTGGGGAACTCTGCTCTAGTATGTAGGTTATACGGGTGATGTAGCTAATCTGTTTTTGAGTTATTTTTCACAACGATATCAATCTGTTGATACCTAATCACGAGTGTAAGAATTGAAGCTCTTCCTTTGTGGAGCTTCAGAAGGTTCAGTCTTGGGTCTCGTACTTTTTTCTGCCGATTCCGTGAATATCAGAAGTTTCTTAGTATCTCTCTTATATGCTGATGATACGCAAATAGGCACATCACAAGGGCGGCTGCTGTTAATTTACTTGAGGAAGAACTCGGTATTCTAGCTATCAATAAATCCGACAAAATTCAGTGTCTTATTGTTTGGTAAACTTGGAAATGGTATTCGAAATACTTGTGAAATTTCAATTGGTAATAAGATTGTTCCATATACAAATCATGCCAGAAACTTGGGAATAACTTTTGACAATAGTTTAAGATTTACAAAACACTTTAATAGCTGTATTAGCCGCTGTAATGGTAGACTCAAATTGCTGTAACCTTACTGCCATACTATTGAAACCAACCTCAAAAACTTACTGGGTGATACACCTCCTCGTTCATAAAATTGAAATGGGTATCTATTCCTAATATATTTAAATTTCGTTTACTATAAGCCCGTACTAACCTCAATTCCCCGATTTTTTAAAGATAGATTAAAATTTCGTGGTTCTATGCGCTCACAAGATATTCGCCTTATTGATACAATAACAGTACCTCACAGAACTTCATTTTCTACTAGATGTTATAATTATAATGCTACTATCATATACAATACTTTACCCTCTAATACTAAAGGTTTATATTTCAATAATTGCAAAAAGCATTTAAAAAACTTTCGAACAATCATTAACATAAATTTATCTCTCACTTCTGCTTATAATATATGCATTAACAGCATCCTATAAGTATGTATATCGTTATACCTTTCCCTTTAAACAATTTTAATTTATTTTACACAGTTAATCCATTTTTATGTTGAAACCTCTACATTTTTAGTGGCACATGTTGCTTTTATTGTTTATTTTGTGGACATTTGACGGGTTAAGTGGTATAATAGCTTATGCTAAACTTCGCCCAATAAATACGTTTTATTATTATTAGTTGTTTTGTCTTTATTTATTCATTGTGATGTTTCTCGATGACCTCAAATGATTAAATAGACACTATTACTAACTGTGATGAAAGTAAGTCTTCCTATAACTTTCTTACATATCACTCACATAATAAATGTTTGTTTAGCAGAAGGATGCCATCCTAAACAGTGGAACCTGGCCTTAATAATTATACAAATTCCTAAAATCTCAAAATCCTTCTGAACCTAAACATCTTAGACCTATTAGCTTGTTCTCCGTGCTTTCTAAAATTCCAGAAAAATCTTACAGAAACAATATAGATTATTCCTGAAGTGAAACAAAACACAAAAGAAATACAGGGTGCGGCAGAGAGGATGGACGGTTTTAAAAAAATCATAAAATAGTTAATTTTTACTCGAAAACAAATTTATTGATGGAATCAGGTTCACAAGGAAATAGCATTTGAGACAGTCAAGTGTGGAAAATCACATCAGGCATGTGGTGTCCGAAATCGTTGATGCAGTGCTGGAGGCGTTCTTGGAAGTTCGCGTAGACTCTCTCCAACATCGCTCTCTCAACTTGATCGACTTCCAGGCGAATTTCGCACTTCAACTCGTCCAGAGTTCGGGGCTTGTTAGCGTATACTCTAGCCTTGAGGTGTCCCCATAAGAAAAAATCGCATATGGATAAATCTGGGGTCCGAGGAGGCCAATGAACATCGCCAAACCTGGAAATAAGGCGACCAGGGAAGAGAGGGCGAATAACGTCCATGGATGCTCGGACTGTGTGGGCGGTCGCCCCATCCTGCTGGAACCACACACGTTGGATTGGAACACGTCGCCGTCGTAATTCAGGGAGAAAGAAGTTGGTGATCATGTCGATGTAGCGCTCTGAGTTCACGGTAACATCACGACCATTACCGTCTTCGAAGAAGTAAGAGCCAATGATGCAAGTTTGCGATAAAGCGCACCAAACCATTATTTTTGGATGGTGCAGCGGTCTTTCGTGTAACTGTTGCGGATTATCATTAACCCAATAACGACAATTCTGCTGGTTAACCATGCTGTTTAGGTGAAAGTGGGCTTCGTCACTCATAGGCGAAAACGCGGTGCTCCACCGTCCAAGGCTCCATACCGACAA